ATTTGTCATTTTAAGTGCTTTTAAAGATACCATTCAGTGATGTTAATTATGTTCATCATGTGCAACTATCACCACTAATGGTTAAAAAATTTTTTTCCATCAGCCCTAACCTAAGCTCCCAAAACAAAGTTTCCTCCTTTCCTCCTCAGTCCTCCCTGGTTGTCATTGTTTTCAAGTGCTGTTGAGTCATTTTCGACTCACAGTGACCCTATGTAGGGTTTCTGAGGAATAGCTGGTGGGCTTGCCATACCAGGATTCCATCCTGCTCCTGGTGACCACAAATAAACTTTGGTCTCTATACTTTTCAGTTCTAGATATTTTATATAAGTGGGATCATACAATATTTGTTGTTTTGTGAGAGACTCATTTCACTAAGCATAGTGTTTTCAAGGTCCATCCATGTAATATCATTTATCAGAACTTGATTTTACTTTATGGTTAGTATCTGACATCTACTTTTAAAGGGAAATATGTGGCAACATAAAGGACACAGGTACAATAGGGACATTAAAACAATGACCAAAGTTCAAAACAGTATAAGGAAGAAAGTAGAGTAGGGGATAAAAAGTATATGAAAGTCGTAAGCCAGGAGACGTTTCTAAAGATAAATATAGCATGCAACCCTGAGCTTCTTGCAGGCTAAGACCTAAATGGAAGTACGTTGTTACTGCTCTTAGGTGCTGTTGACTCTGGTCACATTCATAGTGACACTGTAGGTAGCAGAAGGAAACACTGCCTGGTTCTGCACCTGGCTCACAATCATTGCTGTGCTTGATTGAGCCCATTGTTGCAGCCACTTGGACAAAATCCATACTTTTGAAGGTTTTCCTTTTTTTTTGCATGACTTGACCGAGCATATTGTCCTTCTCTGGGAAATCAAAGTCTTGCCATCTTCACTTCTAAAGGTGGATTCTGAGTATACTTCTAAGACAGATTTGTTTATGTATCTGGCAGTCCATGATAAATTCAATATTTTTGCCAATACCATCATTCAAAAGCATCAATTCTTCTCTCTTATTCATTGTTCCGCTTTTGCATGAATAAGAATCTATCACGAATACACATCTTAAAAGAGACATGCCCTAGTCCTCAAAGTGACATCTTTGCATTGTAACATTTTAAAGAGGTCTTCTACAGAAGATTTTCCCAATGCAATACATCTTTTGATTTCTTGACTGCTACTTCCATGGGTATTGATTGTGGATCCAAGTGAGATGAAATCCTTGACAATGTTAATATTTTCTCCATTTATCATGATATGGCTTATTGGCCTAGTTATGATGATTTGTGTGTGTGTTGAGATGTAATATAAACTGAAGGCTGTAGTATTTTATCTTCATTGGCAAGTGCTGTAAGTCATCATTGCTTTCAGCAAAGCTGTGTCATCTGCTTTTGTTAATGTGTCTTTCAAATCTGATGCCACGTTCTTCTTCATATTGTCGAGGGCCTTGGATTATTTGCTCAGCATACAGACTGAATAAGTATGGTGAAAGTACAGTGATGCACATCTTGCCTGATTTTATACCATGGAGTATCCCCTTGTTCTGTTTAAACGACTGCCTCTTAGTCTATGTACAGGTTCTATATGAACACAATTGGGTGTTCTGGAATTCCCATTCTTCACAATATTAGCCATAATTTGCTAAAAATACAGAGATAACATTTCTGGTACTCTCTGTTTTAAGCCAAGATCCATTTGATATCAGCAATTGTATCCCTTGCCCCACATCCTATTCTGAATCTGTCTTAAATTTCTGACCGTTCAAAGGGACTCATAATAAGAAGCAAAGATCTCTTGTTTAACAGTGGAAGCTTCCCAGCTCTAAGCATAATTTTCAATTGTTTTTCATATAACTGCTTACCTGAGGGAATCCCTCAGTTTTGAATAAACCCAGTGTAAAAGGAGGGAGTTAGCTCTTATAGAAAAAGATGGAAAGGCTGGAATTGTTTATCTTTACATTTTATTCAAGACGACCTTAGTAAATCCTGCTTCATTCATTCTATTTCATTCACTCTGTTCTACTCTGCCTTCTTCCTTTCTATCTCATTTTATGTAATGACTGAATGTTCTCACTTTAGTCCTTTTACTTGGATATGCTGTTGCTGTTGTTAAGTGCCATCAAGTTGGTTCCAACATATAGTGCCCGCTATAGGGTTTTATTGGCGTGACTGGTGGCTTTGAACCACCAACCTTGTGGTTAGCAGTCCAGTGTGTATACTACAGTGCCACACCAGGATTCCTTGCTTGGATATATATAGAGAGATGAATTGTTTATATTTATTTTTTGGGGGGCAGTCATGATAAACTATTATAATTTTAGGAAACTGATACAAACTGTGATTGCTTTTCTTAGAAAGAAATGTACATAAACACATATATAAAACTGGATGAACTTATTTTAGTGTACTTGAAATTTGTCAACTGAAATAGAGTATAAAAAATATTTACAATGAAATGTGTTCTCTCTCACTTTTATTTTTAATGAAAAAACAAAGTGACTTATTCCTGAATAAATAGAAAAAAACTGCTCAGAGTACATTTTAAGAAATTACTATTGCTTGGCTGTGGTGGTGGTGGCAGTGGTGGTGTGCCACTGAGTTGGTTCCGATTCATAGGGACCCTATATAGGGTGGTTTCGGAGGCTGTGAATCTTTACAGGAACAGAAAGTTTCATCTTTTTCCTGTGGAGGGACTGGCGGATTTCAATTACTGACCTTGCAGTTAGCCTAGCTCATAACCCACTACACTACCAGGGTTCCTTTTGATTATAGAGTTTGCCTGAATATATATATATATATAATCTTACTATGTTCTACATATTTCATATAAGTGTTAAAATATCACATACCTCATGTTATTAATTTTGAGACCACCCTTGAGAGAGTTATT